TAATAGGAAAAATGTGAAATGGAAGTTGCAAGAGAGGCATATTATACCCTGTGACAATATATATTGACAACCCAACTGTTGACGAATTTCAGGAAAAACGCTTGGATCTGCCCATTTTTCTCTCTCCTCACGTACTCTAGATAATTTGTGTGGACAACACCTACAACCAGTCGAAATTTAATCTTCCACCTCTTCCCATGATGATACCATGTAAGATGCTCGGGCTCTTCCAGCACGGCAATATCAGCTTCCTCATCGGGAATTACTTCCGTTATGTCGCCTAGCGCTAGAATGCTCCTTTTGTGTAAAGAAAACTGCACAGTGATAAAAGTATAACAATATATTATTCATAAAGAAAAACCATGAGAATTTAGCTCTTGTTGGATGTTTATTGCTCGTTTTTCAAGTGTTGGGGCTATAATTTCAGACGCGGACAAAAGTGAAATTATCTCACATAAAACTACATATGCCAGGACTGTATAGAACAATGAGTACACATAAACATAAAGTAGTCTGACAATGAAACTAGGCAACTATCATCAATTTCCAATCAAACTAATGAAAATGACAAACGTTAAACATACAAATCTAACCCCGACATAATATTCACATCAACATTCAATCAATCGAGAAAAAACAGTAGCTCTGACTTACTCTCCCAGGATAGAAACGTATAGCGAAACTCGATCTCAGATCGGTCCTTTCCTCGAGCCACCGGCGGACATACTTTTCCTGTTCGGCCGGCGAGCTAAAGGTTATATTGTTCGGGTAGACATGCTCTTGATCCTTCAGTTTCAACCAGGGTATCACCAAGGTTACTTTCCGTTCGTCGTCTTTTGCCAGGTAAGCCGCCCGGAACAGAGGATTGACGGAGGTCCCAGTCAGCCATGGAAGGCTTGCCGTGGTAAATATCGCTATGTGTTGCTTCTTATCCATAGATTCATGAGTTTTCACGCCGATAACGAGCTTATTATATTCGGCGGGAAACCCAGAAATCTCCTGCCTGCATAAACAAGATAGAAATTAAAACGATTCATCCTTATTCATCAAAATTCAAGGGCCCATCAGACCAAAACAATATGACTGCGTAATTTAAAGCAGCTGAAACATCCAAACAAGGAAGAGTAATTTCATCGAACACCTACAGAGCAACACCAAAATCAACATTTTTCAACCTTTCACAACAGAATTTCGAGCTACACGAGGACAATCCAACAACACGAGCAAGTCTCAGTTTCCCGACTCAATTTCTTTGTCGAACAAATCAATAAAATAGGCAGAGACCCAATGGAAATATCGAATGCCACCTCAAAAAACCGACGATCAAAACGGAGCTAGAACAAGCAAATAATCAAACCAAATAAACGTGAACAAAGGTTACATTCGACGGAATATTCTCCGATCGCCGGATTAAAGGCAAAAAAGCGGTGGCTTTACCTGAATATATTGCTCGCAGAGAAACCTTTGTTCTGTCCTTTGTGAATAACAATAAATAAAATAAATCGCCACAAAATAATATGAATATGTTAGTTAATTCATGTAATAATTATTTGGGGTAATAAACCAATAATAAATATTTGGAGTAGAGCTACGTGAGCTGTAAACGAGGACAGATTCGTTTGTCGCTTTGGATTTTCGGTATTAAAGCCGTGGGAGACACGCTTGAATAATGCGCGTGAGATTCATTTTTTTTACGCGATGCTTGGAGGTGTTGTGTTATTGGTCCAGCTGTGATTGGCGAACAGTGAGGCAAGGAATATTCGGAAAATATACAGTCGCGTTACGGAACCATTCAATCGAGGTTTGTAACTATTAGATCACAATATAATCGTTGAGAATAGTTGATCTAATGGTTACAAACCTCGACGAAATAGTTCCGTAATGGGATCGTAACATCTCCCGAAATATTCCATGGCGTATAGTACGTTATTTTCATCAGTTTATTACGATTTTAAATAAATAAAATTTTTATTTTCTGGTATTGTTTGTGATAAAACCTTTATCAAATGATTTTAGATTGAATTATTATTATTATTATTATTATTATTATTATTATTATTATTATTATTATTATTATTATTATTATTATTATTATTAACATAATTTAACT